CGCCGTCCGTTGCGCACGCCATCCGCAGCCACAGATCCCGCTGCTGTACCCGCCCTCGCTGCTGAAGCCGGAGCCGCTGATCGCGTCGCTCAAGAATCTCACCGACCAGCGGACGCCGCACCACTACAAGAGGTTCTGGGTCTGCGTCGTCGGGATGCCCTTCACCATCCCCTTTGCCCTGATCCGTGAGTCTTGCGCCGCCTCCCTACGAACGCTGATCGTTTCCCGATGGCAAGTCTGACCCCCCTCTTCCGGTCTCGTCTCCTGCACTCTGCCTGCACCGCAGCCGTCGTTCCCAACCTGCCCTTTTTCTACCTCGTCTATCGGGCCTGGAGCCACTGGCAAGGTGAGTGGCCACGCTGCTTGGGCGGTTCGGATCGCAGTATGCTCATACCTCGTCACTCGCGCTCGTGCCATCCTTCGTCTTGCTGTTGACTGGCCCACGCTACGGTAGCCTACAAGTCGTCGGCGTTCCTCTCCGGGTTGATCGCGCAGAACCGGCTCGTGGCCCAGCAAAGCCCCGAGCTCGACTCAATCTACGCGGAAGCGGCGCCGCCTCCTGCCGAGCCGGCAGCGTCGTCGAGGGAAGAGGGCAAGAAGGCCAGCGAGAGCCGGCCGAGCGACGACGACGAGAGGATGCTGCTCAAGCGGCACCACATTGAGCTGCTCATGGGCCGGCTGGAGCTGCCCGAATCGTGCAAGGCCGACCTGCGCCGGGCGCGGTTGCAGGTGGAGCGGAGCATGCTCGATGGCAAGCTCGAGGAGCTCGAGAGCAATTCGGCCGGCCTCAAGTGAGTCAGACCAGAGCGAGGGAAACGGTCGCCTATTGGGAGCGCGCCTGGTCCCCGCGCCCCCTTGCACGCAGTGGCGACGGCGAGGCTGGCACGGGCCGACTGTGGCGATGACACCACGGTCACCGGCGAGAGCGCCGAGTGCCGCTGGTGGTCGACAAACTCTGGCCCAGCATGCTACAGCGACATGAGCCGCCATGAGCAAGAGTCACGCTCTTCACTCTGCCCGACACCCGCCACTCGCTCTGCCCCCCCGCCATCACCCCGGACGCGCACGCATTGCCCTGTACACTATCATCAGCAGCAGCACCTCGAGGCTGAAGGGAATCCCTAGAATTGCATCATCGGACCACGCGTTGTCGAGGGCGGCTCGCCGGCCGGACGGGGTCTAGAAGGTGAGGGAGCCGAGGGTAAAGGTGCCGTTGGGACCGTCGCGACGGATCTCCTGGGACGAAGCAAAGTCGATGCTCGGGTCGATTGGCTGTCAGTGGAAGGGGAGAGAGGGGAGGCAGGGAGAGAGGGGCAATCAGAGGGGTGAGGGGGAGGTCAGTCGGTCGCATGCCTGGGCGACGCGCGAGTGCGGACCGGGGCGTACGCACGCCGTAGATGTGACCAAAGAAGGTGCCGATGGCCGGGTCAAACTGGAGGCGGGCGGGGACGTCGCGCTGTCGATCAAGCTGGGAGCGCGGGAGGGCGTAGATGTGGAGCACGTCGCCGACGCCGCTCGAGGGGCCAAAGAAGCGCTCGAGGGTGCCCGGCAGCTGGTCTGCGCTCGAGAGGTGGATGAAGCCGTCCTTGCGCTGGTCCGGCGAGGTGGGGGGGGGGGGGGGGGGAGGGGGTGGCGGTGTGTCAGAGAGTCTGAGTATCAGTACGGAAGCGGAACAAGCCCGCGGGGCGTTGGGGAAGGGCAACCTACGTCGAGCGAGGTGCCGGTCCAGCCTGTTGGAGGCATGGCGTCGACCTCTGCCGGCGTGAGGATCTTATAGAGGACGGTGCAGGCCGTTGGATCGCGCTGCTGGTTCGTCATGGTGGAGACGTCGCAGTGGGTGGTGGTGGTGGTGGTGGTCGTCGTCGTGGTGGTCAAAGCGGGCCGGCGTCGTCAGGGTACACCCCGCTCAGCCTCATGGCCGCGCCCCGTTTATCGGAACAAGAGGCGGCGGCGGAGGCGGCGGCGGAGGCGGCTTCGGCCCGCCTTCCGACCCGAATGGGAGGCGAGGGTGATCGATGCGTGCATGCGGGCAGCAGCAGACGAGGCGGCAGAGTGGGTGGAGGGGGCCCACAAGGGCGCCCGCACCTCGTTCCTCGTTGCCTGCCTCGGCCAACGCCCGTTGCCGGCAGCCAAACCTTCTTTGGCACCGCCCTGCTGCTCAGCATCATATCGATCCATCACTAGCTATCCCTCACCACGGCTCGCTCCCGGTCTCGCTCACTCTGCTCACATACAGCCTCAACCCCTGTGTCGACGCCCCGAGACCGCTCCCGCGCCCACGCCCGCGCCCGACCACCGACAGGCTCTGCTGCGCACGCCGAGCTGCTCTCTCTCGCCTCTGCTCCGCCATGGAGCAGCCCCTGTTTGCCCACACGGGCGCATACAACGATGCCGTCGCCGCGCTCCGACGCCCGGGTGCAGCCGACCCCGTCGACCCGGCCAGCCTGCTCAGCCGCGATGCCACCACCACCATCGTCGACCGCTTCCTCGCCCCCCTCAGCCGCTTCACGCCCTCGGACCTCGCCAGGCAGCAGGTCCACTGGCCACGCACACCCCACACCCAGTCCATGCTCTGGGCCGAACCCTCCGTCAGCCTCACCTCGCTCGACTTTGTCCGCGCAGGCCTCGAGGGCCGCATCGTCGGCTACAAGGAGCTATCCCACCCGCGCGACCCCCTCCTCGACCCGAGAAACTCGACCTCGCTCGCCCGCAAGCCCGCCACCGCCACCAACTTTGTCAGGGGAAAGAGCGCCTTCGTCCCCTTTGCCCCGGGCGGTCTCGAGGATGAGGTCATCGCACCCCACGACCCGCAAGAGGCAGACGAGCGCATCGAGACAGAGGTGCAGCAGATGGAGGACGCCCTGCGCTCGGGGAGGGGGTTGCGCGACCACGCCCCAGGCCTCAGCCGCCCCTACGAGGACCCCGAGGCGTCGGCGGCCGACGATGGCGACGACGACGACGACGTCGAGATCGGCGAGGTCGATGCCATCACCGGCATGACACCCCTTCCCATTTACCGCCCGTCCAACGAGGCCGGACCGTCTCGCCTCTCGTCCGCACTCTCGTCGTCGTCGTCGCAGCAGCAGCAGCCTGGTGCGCACGGCTCGTCCGCTGCTGGCCGCGAGCAGGACGCCGAGCTCGATGAGCTGCTGCCCATGGAACGCCCGCGCCCCCTCCTCCAGAAGCGCGCCGCAAAGGTCGACGCCAAGCGCGACTGGGCCCACGTCGTCGACGTCAACCAGTCGCTCACCAACTTCAAGGAGCTCGTCCCCGAAATGGCCCACTCGTTCCCCTTTGAGCTTGACACGTTCCAGAAGGAGGCCGTCTACCACCTCGAGCAGGGCGACAGCGTCTTTGTCGCCGCCCACACCTCGGCAGGAAAGACGGTCGTGGCCGAGTACGCCATCGCGCTGGCGCAGAAGCACATGACGCGGTGAGTTGAGCGGCGATATCCACCCTCGGCGGACGACGAGTAGGCGGAACAAGACGCACTGACGTGTGTCGTCAACCATGCATCCTCTTCGCCCCACAGCTGCATCTACACCTCGCCCATCAAGGCGCTCTCGAACCAAAAGTACCGCGACTTTAAGCAGACGTTTGGCGCGCAGAACGTCGGCATCCTCACGGGCGACGTCCAGATCAACCCCGAGGCGCCGTGCCTGATCATGACGACCGAGATCCTGCGCAGCATGCTCTACCGCGGCGCCGACCTCATCCGCGACGTCGAATTCGTCATCTTCGACGAGGTGCACTACGTCAACGACACCGAGCGCGGCGTCGTGTGGGAGGAGGTCATCATCCTCTGCCCGCAGCACATCAACATGATCCTCCTCTCGGCCACCGTGCCCAACACCAAGGAGTTCGCCGACTGGGTCGGGCGCACCAAGAAAAAGGACATCTACGTCATCAGCACGCCCAAGCGCCCCGTCCCGCTCGAGCACTTCCTGTACGCCGGAAAGGAGATTTTCAAGATCGTCGATGCCCAGGCCCAGTTCCTCGGTGGCGGCCTCAAGGACGCCGGAGAGGCGCTCAAGCGCAAGCAGGAAAAGGAGAGGGAGGCCGCGGGCCTTCCGCCGCCCGTGCGCGGCGGCGGACGGGGCGGCGCCAGGGGCGGCGCCAGCGGGTCCAACAGCCGCGGCGGTGCGCGTGGCGCCATGACGCCCGCCCGAGGAGC